CTTCCAGGTCCAAGTCTAAATGGCTCCCTTGTCGCTGGGCCCCAACTCCAGCCACTCCAGAACATTCTTTCAAAGACCCCTGAGCAGCTTCTCCTAGGCCTGGGGGCAGACCAAACAGAACTCCTGAATCTGGAGTGGGGGTTGCACCTCTCCTTTCCCCCCACTTGGCTTTCTTCCCTCTGGGGTTAGCACCCTGGAAGGGCCAAGGAATCCAGAAAGGGCAAGTCAAAGAGCCAATCCACCCTAGGCCCTGAGGCCTGCTGAAGACTCAGCCTAGTCAACTCCTGAGAGCCCAGGTTGGTTACAGGGTGCCCCCTGGTGGGCAGGGATCGATCCACAGGTTAACAGATGTGCTCAGAGGACCCTGACCTGCTGGTTCTATGTGGTCAGTTTTCTTTTTCTTTTTTATTTCCTTCCTTCCTTCCTTCCTTCCTTCATTCCTTTCTTTTTTGTTGTTGTTTGTTTTGTTTTGGTACTGGGGCTAGAACCCAGGTACACCAAACCACTGAGCTACATTCTCAGCCCTTTTATTTATTTTTTAAATTATAAGATAGGGTCTCGCTAAGTTGCTTTGGGCCTTGCTAAGTTGCTGAGGTTGGTTTTGAACTTGTGATCCTCTTGCTTCAACCTCCTGAGCCATTGAGATTATAGGTGTACAACACCATGTTTTAAGAGCACAGCTCATGCACCAATTTGTAAATGTTCCCATGCCACATGTCCTTCAGTTCACACCCTAGATCATCTCTTTCACTAGGGAAGACTCTGATGCTCCCTCACCTCTGCTCCCCAAATTCCTTTCCTTTCTTTGATCATTCTGTTTGCAAAAATAAGGTAAAATGAAAACCTACCAGGGCTTCCCTACCAGGTGCTTTGCAAAGTAAGAATTTTAACTCAGGAATTCAAAAGCCTGCTCTTCATCCACTCTGTTGTGTGGACATCTGCCCACCTGGCACTCCATGCAGAATGACCCCTCCTTGGACAGCGGTCCTTTTTTCCAACTTCAGGCAGTTCTGGGTTTTCCTTCTCTCCAGGTATGGCCCTGAAAGGTCACCCATGACAGGGGTGGAGATTTTCAAAATGTGATATCCAATCCACAAGAACTTACCTGCATAATTCAGTAGCACACCTGTGGGCCCCAGGTGTTCCTGTGTAAGAACGTGGAGCCAGAGTCCACAATGCAACTCCCAGGACAACATGACATCAGAGAAGCAACTCTGGGACATGCCCATTGGATACGGAGCCAGGGCTCATCCACAGTCGCATGGTGACCAATCCCATTGGCTATGGCTGTTCTCCCTTCAAAGCTCTTCAGGCATCCCTCCCTCCTCTCCTGCCTTCCTCTGGCTCCACTTCAAGTCCTGATTTTCAGTGAACAGATTGATTTCTGTTTCCCAGCAACCTTTCCTGAGACTCAGTCCTGTTGGTTTAGCTTCCCACCTTAACCCAACAGCAAGCAGGCTTATTTTGCCTCAGATGATTCTTGTCATCTTGGATGGCACTGCAGGCAGGAAGCGGAGAGGAATGGCAGGCAGGGTGGCACTTCTGATGCCCCTTTGCCCTGGCTGTTGAGCATCCTCAGGCATCTGATGCTCACAGGACAAGGGGAAGATGTAAAGGGCAGGCTTGCTGGCGCTCGTCTGTGGGAGGACAGGGACATCGGAAAATCCTTGGGGTATGGGTGAGGCATAACCCTCAGAAACGCCTATCCCTTGGCCTTTCTGATGCTTCAGTATCAGGTACGTAGCCATTGTGGCATTGAGCTTCCTCTTGGCCAGAGACACCCAGATTTTGTATGAATCAAAACACTTGTCAAACAGGATTATTATTCCTGGGGGTTCTGGGTGTTTGGGGAGTGCCACACTATAATGATGGGGTACATACTGCTCACCCTGCCTCAGCCATGGGTGCTGTAAGATTTGCTTGACTGTGGGCCGCTTCTTGGGGTTCACAGTATTTTGCGGATGAGGCTTTGGGCTTTGATGGGAACAGAGTGAAGGGTGTGGTATCTTGTGAGAACGGTCAAGTGGTGGTCCCTGTAAATGGGCAGTTCTTTCTTTCTTTTTGTAATAGGCAAAGATTTTTTGGATAAGACCCACCAAAATATAAGAAACAAAAGTAAAAATAGACAAATGAAAAAACTAAAAACAATTAACAGAGTATAGTAGCAATCTCCAGAACCAGGGAAAATATTTGCAAACTATACATCTGATAATATCCAGACTACATAAAGGAATTCCAAAGATTTAATAGCAAAACAACAAATAATCTGGTAAAAAACCAGCAACAGATCTAAATAGACATTTCTCAAAAAATATATATACAAGTGTCCAACAGGCACATGAAAAATTGATCAACATCAATCATTAGGAAAATGCAAATGAAAATCACAATGATATATTAACTCGCCCCAGTAAGAATGGCTAAAAAAGACTAAAGATAACAGATGCTAGTGAGAATGGGGAGAAAAGAGAACATTTGCACACTGTTGGTGAGATTGTAAATTAGTATAGCCATTATGCAAAGCAGTATAAAGTTTTCTCAAAAACCTTAAAAATAGAGCTAAAATCTGATCCAGCAATCCTCCTAGTGAATATATATATATATATATATATATATATCCCAAGGAAATCAGAAAGTTGCAGCACTATTCACAATAGCCAAGAACTGGAAACAATGTAAGTGATCATCAACTAATGAATGAAGGAAATGTGCTATATAAACAAAATGGAATACTATTCAGGCATTAAAAAATATGAAACCCTGTCATTTATTACAAGATGGTGAACCAGAGATCATTTTGTTAAGTGAAATAAGGCAGGAACAGGAAAGCAAGTACAATATTGTTCTCCCTCATGTACAATCTAAAAGAGCTGATCCAATAGAGACTGAAAGGAGATTAGTGGTTACTAGAGACCAGTGGAAGTAAGGGAAGGAGGGAAGGATGGGAAAAGCTTGATCAATGGGTAGTAAGTTAGATAGGAGTAACAAGTCTAGTGTGCACGGTGGAGTGATTGTAAATTACAATAATGTGACATACATTTTTAAAAAATTGAAGAAAGGATTTAGAAAGTTTTCATCATAAAGAAATGATAAGGGCTGGGGTTTGGCTCAGCGGTGGAGCGCTCACCTCGCACGAGTGAGACCCTGGGTTCGATCCTCAGTGCCACATACAAAAATAAACAAGTGAAATAAAGGTGTTGTGTCCAACTACAGCTAAAAAATAAATATTAAAAAAAGAAATGATAAATGTTTAAAAAGATATATATTTGGCCTGATTTAAATATGTAATATATACAAGTATTGAAACATTCCATGGTACCCTGTTAATATGTAAAAAATTTTGGTTTTATGTATCAGTTAAAAATAAAATTATATGTATGTGTATGTATAGGTATACATATATATGTATTTATACCATATTATTTTATAGAGTTCCTGTGGAGGTTTTTAGACTAACAGGGAATTTTATGCATGTTAAGAGATGCATATTAGATTCAAATTTTTTTGCATGTGAACACATTTCAGACAATTTTATATTTGTGGTAACTGGGATTCTAAGAGCCTCAAAAGACCAAAACTTTGATACCCCTCCCCCTCCCATGCCTCTCATAAGTAGTCTTTTCATGTAGGAGAAGAATTTGCATCTAACATGAGGTCTAAATGCGCAGTAGGGTTATTTAACTTGTTATTCATCTCTCAGCATTTCAGTTTGGAAACTTTCTATTGATATACTTTCATGTTTACTGATTTTCACTTGTGTCCATCTACTGATAAGACCATCAAAGGCATTCTTCATTTTTTATAGTGTTTTCCATTTCCAGCATTTCCTTAGGATTCTTTAAGTTTCCATCTCTCTATTCATATTACTCATTCTATAATTGCATGTTATTCACATTTTTTCAGTCCTTAGCACATTACTCAGTTATTTAAAATTCCCATTTAATAATCCTCAAATGCATCATACCTAATCTGGTTCAAATGCTTACTGTGCCTTTTAGCAACTCACCTTTAGCCTTGTTGTTGTTGAAAGCTGAATGCGATTTGTTGGATAATAGGAACTAATAGGCATTTAGTGTGACTAGGACTTAGGCTGTGTTTAATATTAGCTATAGCTTAAAGTGCCAGAGACTTCAAACTATTTTTAGTTTGTTCAACTTTTCCCTGGTGGTAAGGTTGTGAGGGCAATTTCTTAGCATTTTACATGTGGAAAAAAAGTTAAGTCCTTTTTATTATCAATCTTTAAGCAAAAATATTAGTACCCAGGATGGACTTGAAATTAGGATAACACAGAGTAAGTTATGCTACTATCTTTGAAAACAAATTTAGCTTTGACAGTTTCTCAAATATATCATCTGTAAAATCAGTATATCTAATTTCTCTGATCATTTCTTGTACTTAAAATTCTTTAAAATGGACTTTTGTATCTAACCGACAGTGAAAAAAGTCAGACTAATTTGGGCTATCATCTGTTCTGTTCTCTCATTGGTACCTGGACCATATGGCAGAATGAAGATCCAGGTGGCTTTGCATATTTTATCCCCAAAGTTTATTAACAGTGTCTGTGAAGGGCGAGGTGAAGGTTCCTGGAAGCACAAACCACCCACTGTAACCCAGCACAGCAGCCGGCGGCCAGGACTCCCACTGCCTAGGCAGGGTAGGCACTGAAGGCACAGGATGCTCAGGGCGTGAAAGCGTCTTCGACCCAATATACTAAACAATAGTTTGTGTATTTCTTGCAAATAGTTTGCACCGGTCTCAGCGTGGCTTCTAACCCAGCGTACAGACGCTGGAGGGAAATCTTGAGCTCCCTAGCGGTCTGCAAAAGCCTTGCAGCCGGACCTGCGATGATCTGAACTTGGCGCCTGTCTAGTTCAGACCTATTAGAAGGAGCCCCTCTGCCTGCCTCCGAAGAAGCTCAATGTTGATTGGATCTTTCCGTGACCAATGGGAAGCCGCGTCCTGCGCGGGCCGGGCGGGCGGGTGGCGGCGGTTGCCGGGACACCGCGTAAACACTGGAGCGCGCGGTCCAGCCAGTGTCCTTCTACCTGGTGGAGCCTGCGTTTGCAGAAAGGTGGTGGCTGTGGGAGCCAAGATGGTGAGCCAGTTGAGGGACTCAGAACTACTTATTTATGGTTTAAAGCTCGTCTACCTCTGAAAAAGGACTCGGAAGTGCTTAATATGAGAGCTGAGTGGGAAATTTGTGTTTGCTTTTCAGGGGCGTCCGGTGCTGTTACTTAAGGGGCAGTCGCAGTGATTTCCATTCACTGGCACCCCCCCACCCCCGCCCTACACAGTAGTAGATCTATTTTAAAATCTGCCTTATAGTAATTCTGTATCAATGAGTGGAGATATGGGTCTGGGACAGAGCCAACAGATTAGTAGCAGCGGTTTACCTATTAGTTTATATTAGGAAAAGCTGGCCAGCTTCTGAAGAGTACTTTGTGGCCGTGTGGTGTGGTGGTGGTGGGTGGAATGAGAGGAGGAATTCCCGGGGTAGTGGTTAACAGCTGGGTCTGTACAGTTCCACCGCCTATCTTTGAAGCCTAGTATTGGTGCTTAGAAGCTGCGGGACCTTGGGTTTAATTACTTTTGCTTTTCATGCCTCATCTATGAAATAGAGAATAATACTAGTAATTATTTAATTAATGAAGTGTTAAGCTACTACATTTACTCTTTTATTAGGTATTCTCTGAATTTAGGAAGGAAGCCAAAGACTCTTCATTATTATTATATTTATTTTGTTATATTATCTCAATATATTTTTAAAATCGGACTTTGGAATATTTCAGTATGCACATTTTATCCATTATAGGCTACCCCAAAGAGAACTTTGAATTTTAGTGAAAGGCATCAGAAATTAGTAGATGAAAACTTTCGTAGAAATTTGGATATTAAAGCACTAAAAGAGATGCAGACTCAAATCAGCAAGCAAATGGAGAAGAATAAAACTGATGACAGTATTGAGTGCAGGAGATTCCTCAGATTATTACAGAATGAACAGTACGAGTTGGATATGGAAGAAGCCATCCAAAAAGTAAGTTTTACTATGATAGTTACATTTTTTCCCCCTTCATTTTCACCTTAGAAATGATAAAAGCCAACTGCTAATACTGTAGTTGTTTAGAAAGACAAATGTCAGGTAAGGGATGCCTTATTGTAAGTCATCTAGTATGGTTATGAAGAGCCAACTTTCTGGAGCTAGACTGGCTTTTAAAATCTTATACTATATCATAGCTTCAGAATCTCAGGTATTTTGCTTTTACTTTTTATCTTCATGTACAATTTGGGGAGTAATAATAGTACCTCCTACTCAGAAATTTTTAGTAATAAGTAAATACATGCACAACCCTTGTTGTGCCTAGTTCTTGGCAAGAAGAAGTGCCCAGATTTTTTAACATAAATGTGAAATGCATAATTATTAACTTCCACAGTTCATGTGTTACTTTATATTTCTAAGGACAAAAATATAAGGATGTCTTCTGAATTTACTGAAATTAAACAGGTACATTATGAAATGGTAGAAACCGAACACTTAAGTATTAGGTATAAATTTATTCCTGTTTTAAATACTACTTTGAATAATTCAGGTACCACATATATGCTATTTCAATGCTATTTCTAAATATTTTAAAGGATCAAATTGATAGAAAAAGGGAAACTGATAAGAAGTGAGATACAGGAGAGAAATGAAGTCTCATAAATGTGAAGGAAATATTGTGATACTAGTTTTTTGAGTGCCGGCTGTATATTCCCCATCTTGTAGGATATTGCAGGGAATAGAAAAAAAAACACAAGTTTTAAAAGTTGTATCCGTTCCTTTGTGTTCCAAATTCCAAAAGCTTAGATGTGATTTTTTTTTTAACTCTGAGCAAGCAGATTCTATTCAATTTTTTTCTATTATTTTTCAAGAAAATCCCAGATATTATACCATCTCTCTCTGTGCATATTTTAGTATGCATCAAACAAAATATGGATAGTTTCATTTTACCCATTTCTTAAACAAATTTCCGTGACTGTATCAAAAATTGGCTTTTACATTTTTTTGTTTTAATCAGGGCCCAATACAGTTCATACAGTATATTTGCTTGCTATGTCTAAGTCCCTCTTAATCTAAAACAGCTCCTTTTTCATCCTTTGTGTTTTTAATTTCATGTTTTATAAATATTTCTTTAGTTGTAGATGGACACAATACCTTTATTTTATTTATTTATTTTTATGTGGTGCTGAGGATCGAACCCAGTGCTTCATATATGGTAGGTAAGCACTGTACCACTGAGCTACAACCCCAGCCCTAACCTCATATTTTTAACTTGTTAAAATTAACTAGGGCAGTTGTTTAGTATTCCACATTCTGTATTTATCTGTTTGTTTCCTCATGTTTTCTTTACTTTATGTCTCTACCTCTTATATTTCCTCTAAATGGAATTTAGCCCTAAAGATGTGATTAGTTTGAGATCAGGTCTCTTGGCAAGAATACTTCATAGGTGATACTGGCATTGTGTCACATCATAAGGAACATGAGGTCTGGTCATTCCACTTTTAATAATACCAGTGTTAACCACTGGGTTCAGTGAGACAGCCTCCTTCCTTAATTATAAAAGTTCTCATCAAACTTTCATAGGTAGTTTCACAAAGAATTTTTTCTTTCATTAGGAGTTGCAATACACTGATTTTTCTATTTTTCCTTTCACATTTAATTAGCGAAAATTCCTTCAAAATGAACTTTTCCTCATCAACTAGACTCATTTGTTCTTACTGGAAAGGGGGATAAATAGTTAATTTTAGAGTAGATTGATATCTATGTTGTTTAAAAATTTTGTTTTCTTTAGTTTTTGAATGTTTTTTAAAATATCTGAACTCATGAGTCTTTATATACTTATAATTACATTATTATTCTTTTTGATGCTTAAATTATCTTGTCCTTGGCCAATGAATGCTTTTTTATATTGCTTCTGTGCTCTTTTAACAAGACACCCTTAATCTTTGATATCTTCCTTGCTTTTTATCAGAACAAAATGTTTAAGGCTTGTGGTGGTTAATTTTGTTTCAACTTGACAGGGCCATGGTGTGCTCAGGTTATTTGATCTAACATTGTTCTGGTGTTTGGGCTAAGACTAACATTTAAATTGGTAGATTGAGTAAAGCAGATTGCCCTCCCTAGTGAGGGTGGGCCTCATCCAGTCAGTTGAAAGCTTGAACTGAACAAAAATACTGACCCTTCACCAGATAGGAGAGAATTCTTCCTGCCTGCCTGATGCTTTTTCCCTGCCATTGGCCTCAAACTGAAATATTAGCCCTTCTTAGGTCTTACGTTGCTGGTCTTTGGACAGGAACTATATGTAGGTCCTTCTGGTTCTCAAGCCTTTAGACTCAGACTGAAATAAAACCATTGCCTTGCCAGCCTGGCAGTGTACCGTGCATTTCACTCTTCTCCCTTTCCTTATTTGTAATTGCCTTCTCCAACAAAAAGAAGGTTGGCTATTGATAACTACATAGCTTTCCTTTATTCTTTCAACCCTACTATACAAATAAAGTACTTTTGGAATTGCTTACCTGCACCCCTACGAGAAACAAATTTACTTCTGTAGTACAGACTGGTATAGTTCTTTCTATCTTTAGTCTCCCATTATCGAGTCAAACATTGTTTCCCAAAGTTCACGTCCAGTTCCTGTTCTCCTCTGGTGTGGTTATGTGTTTCACTTTTAATAGGTTAATTTACCGTAGTCTGCACTCTATTGTTTCCCCCATACCTGGTTGTTTTTGTTCCTCTCTTTAACTTTTTATGTTGAAATGATTATAGATTCTCAGGAATTTGCAAACATGGTATGGAGAGCTCCATTGTGCTCTTGGCCAGTTCTCACCACTGGTCAAGTCTTACAAAATTGAAGTATAATATCAAACTCTGGAAAATGACATTGGCACAATATATCTGTATACTTACATGTTATTTTATTACATGCATCGATGTGCTCAACCACCATCTTAAATTATAAAACTATTTTATCACCACACAGATCTCATGTCTGCTACTCTGTTGTAACATGCACTTCTTTCAACACTGACTGTGCCTGGCAACCACTACTTTTTTTTCCTTCATCTCTGTAATTTTTTCTTTTCAAAAAGTTACATAAATGCTTAACTTAAAAAGTTAAGCATACTAACAGAGCAGTTCTGCTTCTAAGTATATACTCAAGAAATTTGAAAAACATATGGGAACTCTGTATTTTCAGCTTGATTTTTCTATGAACCCAAAATTCCAAAGAAATAAAGTCCATCTTTTTAAAGAGATAATAGTAATGGTTGCACAATATTGTAAGTATACAAAAGCTACTGAGTTGTAGATTGTAAAAGATGAATTTTATTCTATGTAAATTATCTCAATTTTTAAAAAAGGATGTTCCAAGAATGTTACATAGGTAGTATCAGACAGTATTTAACATATTGGGAATTGGCTTTTCCCCCCACTCAGCATTATCCCTGGAGATTCACCCAAGTTGTTGTTTATATTCCTTTTTATTGCTGAGTGGTATTCCAAAGTGTGGATATACCTAAATTTACTTGATCATTCATCTGATGAAGGTTGTCTAGTATATTTCTAGCAGTGGTTATTATGAATAAATCTCTGTAAGTATTTGGGTACCAATTTTGAAATGAATATAAATTTTGTTTCCCTGGGATACATGCTTAGAGTATAGCTGTTGATTTGTGTGGTAGTTGCATGTCAGCTTTATAATAAACTACCAGACTGATTTCCAGAGTGGCTGTACTACTTTACATTCCCACCCATCATTATGAATATGCAGTTTCTCATTTTCTCACTTTTAGTGTTGCTACTATTTTTTATTTTAGTCATTCTAATAGAGATGTAGTGATATCTCAGTGTAATTTTAATTTGCATTTCATGATGGCTGATGATGTTGAACATTTTTTTCAGTCTTTATTTTTCTTAAATACAGATCTGAATTTGTAGATCTATCATTTTATATAAAATATAAAACAAACAAGTGACATACTTTTGACAATCACTCAAATAAATGCAGAATGTGGGACATTCTTTGAGCTGTATGTTCTAATTTCTACAACTAATCAATGGCTTGGAAAAACAGTGCATGCATGTATGTGTGGGTGACCATTATAGAATATAAAAGAAACTTAAGAGAAATAATAACTACATGCAGGATATGGACCTTGTTTGGATTTTGATATGAACAAACAACCAGAAGAAAAATTATAAGACAGGTGTGAAAGCTTGAATGTGTGTAGGTATTAGTAAGGAATCATTAATTTATTTAGACAGTTTAATGGCATGGTTGTTATATAAAAAGAAATTCTTATCAGGTAGAAATCCATATTGAATTATTTACATGGTAAATGACATTATGTCTAAGATTTGTTGTAAAATATTATAGCAGAGAAAGAATAAGAAAATAGAGTGGAATTCAAGAGAAAAAACAATTAACACAATGTTAATTTTTGAAAAGATAAGTGACGAATAGCCTTCAACATTGTTTAATATTCTTCCAAATCTTTCCATGATAAAATATTTGAAAAAGTACTTATTGAAATATTTTATACTTTAAAATAAAACAAATAATTGAACTTTGCTGTTAAGGCATTTAGTTTTACATTGTAAAATAAACAAACTCAACCTTGGATGAAAAAAAGTCTGATTCCTCAGGACAAATAATTAAAGTTGTCTTTTTTATTCAGGCAGAAGAAAACAAGAGATTGAGGGAACTCCAGCTTGAACAAGAAGAAAAATTGGCTCTGGAATTGGCAAAATTAAAACATGAAAGTCTAAAGGATGAAAAGATGAGACAACAAGTAAGAGAAAACAGGTATTGTGGTTTTTACCAATTCTATTTAGTCTATTTACTATTAAACTTTTAATTCTTAGCACCTGAAAGTGAAATTTCTTTGTTTAGATCATTGCACTTATTTAATATTTTGCCTGGAAATATTGCTTTAAATCCCAGAATATTCATTTGAGAAAATAAGTTGTATTCATAGAAATAATTGTTGAATATTTAATAAATATCAGCCCCTTCTGTTCTTTCCCTTAAGCACAAATTTTAAAATGGCTTCTTACAAAAAAACAGACTTACTTATTTCTAGAATAGATTTCTTTTTTTATTAGTTCATTTTATTCATACATAATATTAGGGTTCACTTTGACATGTAACATGAAATATAAGTCCCCAATACTTCTCCTTTCCCTCCCTTCCTCCCTCCCCCAATCCCCTTTCTCTACTTCACTGGTCTTTCTTTTATATATTTATAGTTTTTTTTTTAAATTAGTACTTTGTCGATATACATAAAGATGAGCTTCACTATGGTATTTCATATATTTAGATAGGAAATTTGGTCAGATTCATAGAATAGATTTCTTAACGATGTTTAAGATTAAATGACTTTTTAGGGACAGCCATGTCACCTGTTGATCAAACTTATGGCCAAGTTAATGTTCATTCTGTTTCTGTATAGTTGAATATATTGGAAATTTACTTTGATAATTGTTCCTTTTATTTCAAAGGACTTCTTTATGTATCATAGGAATCATGGATGAGCTTCAGGGATTTTGAACCTCATTAAAATATATATTCAGTAAATATATTGTATTTTTCTGGGTCTACAATTTTAATCATATTCTCTAAGAAATTATTAGTCCCAGGGGAGGAGGTGGGCTTAAAATTACTGCCAAAATCTATATGCTATACTAGTCTCAAACTATCTTTTTGAAGTCCTAATTCTCTAATCATTGTTAGCTATCACTTGGGCATTATATCATTTGAAGATGAAGCAAATATATCCTCATGCCTTTGTCTAAATCACTGATAATAAGAGTTAAATAGAAGAGTTGTCCACATCTAGCATTGCAGATTAGATGATTCAGATTTATGTTCCCTCAGAGAAAAGAGTCCGGAGAAAATGTAAAAATAAGAACCGGGAAAGGAAGGGAACCAAACTGGTGAGCCTGGCATTGGTAGCTGCATTTCTTCTGGAGGGTTCTGCTGTTACTGAAAACATAACTGAGAGTTATGTAAAGCAGAGCTTGTCTGATAAACTCATGGCAACATGTTCAATACCATTCATCAAGTTTTACTCTTAAGTTCTTATTCCTTAATAATACAATTTAATTAGATTTTATTACATAGGCATGATGGATATCTTGTGAAAGATTAGTGTAAAATATGTAGAATAAAGCATGGAGAGATAAAAGAATAAAAAATACAGATAAAAACTTAAAAGAAATATGGGCTAAGGTGGAAAGTTCTAACACACATAATTTTAGTCCTGGTTGCATAGATGAAAGACAATGATGTAGAAGCATTATTTGAAGAGATAACTGGTCAAGAATTTTGAAAAAATGATACAAGACATAAAGTCTCAGTGTCAAACACACAAAATAATAAAAACTCTACCTAAACTCATCCTTGTCAAACTTTTGAAACCCAACAATATAAAATAATAGTAATTTTTTAAAGGATGGGGAACGTAGCTCAGTGACAGAGCACTTGCCTAGCACACAAGAGATCCTGGATTCATTCCCCGAACTGTAAAACAACAACAAAATACATAAAAATAATAAAGCAGCCAGACAAAAAGGCTATTACCTTCAAATAAGCAATAATAAGAAATATCACTGAATTTTGAACAGAAAGAGTAAAAACTAGAAGATGATTGATTTGAAGAGCTGAAAAAAATTATAGCTCATCCAGAATTCTATACTTTGTGAAAAAATCTCTTCAGAATTAAGGGCAGAGTCAATCAGTTGGATATTGAATATGTTCACTTAACAGTGCCAGAATTTTCAAGTTTTATTTTTTATTTTGTGTGTGAGCCATGCTGACATTTTGACAGACATGCAGAAATAGATTATTTGTTAGATTGTTGTATTTATCTGCAAATTGGCAGGTCTAAATTCAGGGAACTTTTTGCTGTGGTGCTTAAAATGTATCATAAGCAATTCAGAATCACATATATTAAAATTAGGCTCTTTATTTTTTTGAAACAAATACTTGTTTTTATTGTTAAAATTTTAAAATTTTAACTACACTGCCTGGCCTCAGTGTAGTTTTGATTTACATTTCCCAATTCATGAAGTGAATACATTTCCTTCATTATATCCATTTTATACAATCATTTTCACCGAAGGAATTTTAAAATACATGTTTCTGAGATGCAGGAAAATATTCCCCCCCTCTCATTTTTTTATTGGTGCATTATAGTTCTACACACTGATGGGATTTTGGCGGGGTACAAAGGATTGGTCCCAGGGACACCTAACCACTGAGTCACATTCCCAGCCCTTTTTATTTTTTATTTTGAGACAGGATCTCACTAAGTTGTTTAGGCCCTTCCTAATTTGCTGAGACTGACTTTGAACTTGCAGTTCTCCTGAGCTGCTACCATTACAGGTGTGCACCACTACACCCAACATTTGTTTTTGCATATTTGTATATGCACACAATGCACAATATAACAACATAATTTGGCCAATATCACTCCCTGGCAGTTCCCCTCTTCTTCCCCACCTCCCATTCCTTGGTCCCTTTCCTTTACTGATCTCCTTTTGATTTTCATGCCTGCACCTTTTCCTTTCTCCTCTCTAGTTTCTGCATATGAGAGAAAACATATGACCCTTAGCCTTGTGAGTTTGACTTATTTAATTTAACATAATTGTCTGTAGTTCCATCCATTTTTCTGTAAATAATTTCATTTTCTTTATGGCTGAATAAAACTTCATGGTGTATATATGCCACATTTTCTTTATCCATTCATCTACTGAAGGACACCTGGGCTGTTTCCATAGTTTGGTTGTTGTAATTGTGCTGCTATAAACTTGAGTATGCATCATTGTAGTACGATGACTTTGATTCTTCAGGATAAATACTGGGGAGTGGTATAGCTGGGTCATAAGATGAGTCTATGCCTAGTCTTTTGAGGAACCTACATATTGATTTCCATAGTGGTTGTACTAATTTACAATCCAGCTGCTGGCATAATAAAATTATTTCTTTTCTTCCATATCCTCTCCAGCATTTATTATCTTCATTTTTATTATTTACATTCTTGATGACTGCCATTCTGACTGGTATGAAATGAAATCTTAGTGTAGTGTAAGGGTTTTTCTGCAGTCAGGGGAGTGGCACTGGTATTTAACCCAGGAGCACTTTACCATTGAGCTACATCCCCAGCCCTTTTTAAATTTTTATTTGAGACAGGGTCTCACTTAATTGCTTAGGGCCTTGCTAAGTTGCTGAGGCTGGCTTTGAACTTGTAATCCTCCTATCTCAACCTCCTGAGTCACTGGGATTACAAATGTGCACTACTATGCCTGGCCTGAGTGTAGTTTTGATTCACATTTCCCAAATTGCTAATCGTGTTGAACATTTTTTCATATATTTGTTGGCCATTTGTATTTCTTCTTTTGAGAAGTGACTTTTTAATTCATTTGCCCATTTATTAATTGGGTTTTTTGATTCTTTTTGGTATAATTTTTTTTAAGTTCTTTGTACATTCTACTCCTCTGTTAGAAGAGTAGCTAGCAAAGATTTTCTACTATTCTGTAGCCTCTCCCTTTACACTCCTAATTGTTTTCTGTGCTGAACAGCTTTTTAATTTGATGCCATCCCATTTATTAACTCTTGGCATTATTACCTGAGCTTTAAGGGTCCTATTGAGAAAGTCATTGCGTGTGTCTGTATGCTACAGTGTTGACCCTATGTTTTCTTCTAGGAGTTGCATAGTTTCTGGTCTAATTCCTTGGTCTTTGATCCATTTTGAATTGATTTTTAGGTAGTGTGAGAGATAAGGGTCTAGTTTCATTCTTCTACATATGAATAACCAATTTTCCCATCATCATTTGTTAAATAGGTTATCTTTTCTCCAATGTATGTTTTCAGCACCTTTGTCAAGGATCAAGTGGCTGTAGGTGTGTGGGTTTGTCTCTGTGTATTTTATTCTGTACCATTGATCTATGTGTCTGTTTTTATGTCAGTACCATGCAGTTTTTTTTTTAATATAACTTTTTATAAAAACCTTAGGTGTGGACTTTCTAATGAGCTTCCCTGGTAGACAGCATTTCTCATGTGTTGATACAACTCAGTAATTTACTGAGTGAACCATGTATGTTATGTGAGACTCCACTGAGAGAGGACTTTTGGAAGCTTGCACCTGGTTTCCTCTGGATTTCACCCATGTGCCTTGTTCCTTTGCCAATTTTGTTCTGTTACCTTTCACTGGAATTCATTATAGCAGTTGAGTAAAACTATATGCTGAGTCCTGTGTAGCCTCTTAGTGAATCATCAAACCTGGGGGTGGTTGTGGAACCCCATCACAGAAGCAAAAAGGGGAAAAAAGAGAACACAGAACAGAGGACAAGTAGAAGATACTGAGCTTGTCAACTTAAACTCAACTCTATTAGTAGTTATGATAAACATATTTGAACTATTTACCAAAATAGATGACATATTGTACTGAAATGAAAGCATCAACAGATTGTCAAAGGATTCAATTTACACGTAGTATGCTCTCTGATTAAAGTGGAATTACACTAGATATCAGAAACAAAAATATTACCAATCTTTGTAGATTAGTATATTTTCAAATGTATTTCAAAATAACCTTTGGATCAAAAAATAATAATCAAAATTGAAATTAGAAAGTATTTTAACTGATAATGAAAATACCTCATAGTAAAAATTGTGGGATTGGAGTGACATTAACAAAATAGCAGTGTTGGCAGCTCCAAACTCCTGTCCCTCCTCACCTCTTCCCCTGCCAGAAACATCAAAAAACATGGAGAAATAGTTAGAACCAACTTTATAAAAACTCTGGATAATATCCAAAGATTTATAGCAAGCAAGCAAATATTGAATCAAGAAAAAGGCACCTTAAAAATGGCAGGAAAGTTTCGTGGTACCTTTATTCGCCCTTGTCGGATCCCCTCCTAGCTCCGAGGCAGTCTTTAAGCCCATGTTCCTAGTGAGACCTTGCTCCCTGGTTTAAGGAGGGAGCAAAGCATACCTTATTTACAATTTATTGTTTATGTCTGTTCTAACTTGCCTTAAGGCTACCTGGAGGATTAACACAAAATTTTCATCTCTGTTTCACGTAACTCAGAACTCATTTAGGTTGGAAGAACAATTCGTATTTCTGATAAGGATTTAATATTCAGAATATATAAAGAAAAATGATAATTCGACAACAAATACCAAACAACCCTATTAAAAGAATGGCCAAAGCACTTAAATAGACATTTATATCAAGAAGATACACAATAGGCGATAAGCACTTGAAAAGATATTCAACATCATTAGTCACTAGGAAAATGCAAATTAAAGCCACATCAAGGTGTTATTTCACTGGTTAGGATAGTTAAAAACAATGGAAAATAACAATTGGAACCCTCAGACATTGCTGATAGGACTGTGAGTCATCCATTAAGGAACTAACTTATTTCTCCTATGGATCTAAAATAATACCAATTGTATACTATCTTTGAGAAAATTTAAAATGTTGTCACTTAATTTTCTGTGGATCTTAATTCTCTTAAGGATCTGCAGATTTAAATTTGACTTTTTCCCCCACAGTATTGAGCTCAGAGAATTGGAGAAGAAATTAAAAGCAGCTTACATGAATAAAGAAAGAGCAGCCCAGATTGCTGAGAAGGATGCCATTAAATATGAGCAAATGGTAATGTTGTTTCTGGTCACTTTGTTTTTAGTATCATAAAGAAAACCAAAAATGAGTCCTTTTTTTTTTTTTTTTAAATTGTTGCATTCTGTAAAGAATTTACACTGCACGATTTCCAAATACTGGTATACCTTTCAGATTCTTAAGGTATCCAAAATCTTCAGTGATTTCATAGGAAACATTGTTTAACTTAATATTAGAGCCTTTCAGCTGATAACTATATTTTTTGCATGTTGATTTATATTTTGATAATTTTGTATAGGAAACTTGTCTGTTTTACAAAAGCAGCCCCTTTCTCAAGTTTCTATTTGTTCCCCTTTTCTAACTCCTCATATGCTACCCAGTTGAGGGCAAGGAGTGTAATACAGTATAAATATAAAGTACAGTCCATAAGTTAACACAAACAGGGTATACATTGTCTCTTGAGTTTGTATCATCACACAGAAATGCCAATTATATATGAATGTATGTACACATAGATGTGTATATCAACATAAATATGTTCATACACACAGTTATAGAGGTGATATCAAAATAGTTAACTAGTGCAGTATTCATTAGGAATAGATGCAGGCTATAAATGGTATATATGTTTTGTGCATATATATATATGTGTATATATTTGTAGAAATTAATATAGCATGCTATTAATAGTGAAAACCTTAGGTGTAGTAGCTGGTAGGAAAATGTGAGAGGCTTCATTGCCTCTATCCTCTATTTGCAAGGATATCCTCTGAAAGGATAAATTCTATCCTTTCAAAATAAACTAGAACACAATGTATGATTTGTCCAGTGGTTTGTAGTTTTAATTATTCTGATAGTTGAGGTTATTCAAGACCATTATAGATATTCTAATCTGATTTCTAAAGGAATTGCTGCTATTTTCTAAGTCAAAATTGATCCACAAAATTGAAACCAAATACTCCTAGGACTTGACTTAACTAGGTGTCAGATATCTAGGTACTAGTATTTGGCTCTGTCTCTCTGAGCTTATGTTTTCTCATATGTAAAATAAGAACAATATATTTCTATAAGTATGTTGTAATCTGCACATAAAAGTTGTTTTTTTGTTGTTTTTTTTTTAAAAGAATTTAGTCAACATGTACAAAAAAAAGTGCAAAGAAATTTTGGTTAAGATACATTAACAGGGTACATGTTATAAGCCTTAATTATATAACGAATGATATTTATCGTTCATATTTTAATCTGTGTTTTATATTTGATGTAGTTAAAGTTATGATGTGGACCAGGTGCAATGGTATATGCCTGTAATCCCAGCGGCTTGGGAGGCGGAGGCAGGAGGATCATGAGTTCAAAGCCAGCCTTAGCAATTTAGCAAGGCGCTAAGCAACTTAGTGAGATCCTTTCTCTAATAAAATACAGATGGGACTAGAAATGGACTCAGTGGTTGAGTCCCCTGAATTCAACCCCTGGTACCCCCCACCCAAAAATGCTAGGATGTGATCATAAAGGCAAACATTAATTTTAAAAAAATGCTCCATTATATTTAATTTAAACATATTTTGTTAAATGATTTGAAATTGCTCAAAAAAATTAAGGGATTTAATCCATCTAAGAAAAGGATTGTCTCTAACTCAGTGGGAATAGTACAGAGTGAGTATATTCAAACTGCAGAAAACAGGCACAATAGCGTATATGACCCTTTCAAGTAAAAGACATTACAAAGGGCCTTTAATACATGAGAAAGAAAAAAACTCAGGGGCTCATGGCAGGAAAGAAAGCTTCAACTAGGAGAAACTTAATAGCTGCTTAGAGTCATTTAATAGCAGACCTGTATAAAAATGGCAATACCATCTTGATTCCAAATAGCAACTGATACTATGAAAAATCAAAATTGAAAATCAACTTATAACAAAAGAAAAAGATCACTACTGCTTTCACAGTTTAAAATGGTTACTAATAAAGTACTCATAATTTTTCTTACTGTTTTTCTGGTACAGACTTATTGATTATCCTTATCAGGTATTACCCCAAGCATCTCTAGAGTCTGACTCATCATTCAGACCCTTTAGGCCACAATGACTTACTTTTGACTTTTTTACCTACACAGCTGAAAAAAATTATTTTATATAACAGGCTTTATAATGTTCAGTTACATTTATTTAAAGTATTCTATCATTCTGGGTTCAGATTTGAAAGAGAATGATAAATTTTGTTTTAATATCAGAAACGTGATGCTGAAATAGCCAAGACCATGATGGAAGAGCACGAGAGAATGATGAAGGAAGAGCATGCTGCCGAAGACAGAAGAAACAAAGTGAAAGCACTGTACTGTCTTGACTTGGAGAAACAACTGGAAGAACAAGAGAGAAAAAAGCAGGACGCTTACGAGCACTTGCTGAAAGAGAAACTCATGATTGATGAAATTGTTAGGAAAATCTATGAAGAAGATCAAATGTAAGTTTGTCATGGAAACTTAAAATTCTTAATGCCTGAACATTTACTTCAGATTTGTCATAGGTTTGTTGTGAAGAGGTGAAGCACATATAACAGTGTGAATACATAGTAAATGCTCAATAAATATTAGTTATGATCACAAAAATTGAGACCAGCTCTTCTTTATCTTTGTCAGCGTGATTGTTAATAAGTATCTCATAATTAATAAATGCTTATTTACTGACTGAATGACCTAAATCTTTGTTTCTTAAATATATCCATACCATATGTTATGGGACATGTTTTCTGATAAATTTCCTTAGTAGACAGCTTAAGAGTAGACTACAAGGCTCACGTTAACGGGTCATAGCCTTTGTGAAATGAGATGCATAAAACTCCATTAGTAGGTTAAAAGAGAAGTACAGTAGTATTTTATCCAGAGAAAATTTGTAGTGTCACGTAATAGGCATTTGTGTATTAATGAACAAACTGTAAATAGGGAAGTTGTTTCCCCGAACATTATTATTAACAGAAGGAACTTTTTATTTTTTGATATTTTATTATTTCTTTTACTATAAAACTATATCTGCTATTGCTCTTTAGGGAGAGACAACAAAAATTAGAAAAAATGAATGCAACTAGAAAATATATTGAGGAGTTTCAGAGAGAGCAGACTATCTGGAGAAACAAGAAACGTGAGGAGATGGAAGAAGAAAACAGAAAAATCATAGAGTTTGCCAACATGCAGCAGCAAAGAGAAGAACATAGGATGGCAAAAGTTCAGGAAAATGAGGAAAAAAGGCTGCAGCTTCAGAATGCGGTATTAAAATAACCACTTCTCTGACACTGGTGAATTTCTGAAATAATTAGGTATCGAATTTGGATCCTATAAATATATATATTTTTTAATTTAATAGCTGACTCAGAAATTGGCGGAAATGCTGCGGCAACGTGAAGACCTGGAACAAGTACGACAGGAATTATACCAGGAAGAACAAGCTGAAATATACAGGAGGCAACTAAGAGTAAGTTTCAGATATTAAAAGAATTATTAATAGAAGACTATAATATTGAGATGAAGCAGTAGAATGAGTAAATTTAAACCCAACCTATTGATAATCGCACTCTAGGTAAATGGTGTAAACAATGCAGTTAAAAGACATTTTCAAGTTGAATAAAAAAGCTTCACTCAGAGAACAGTTCATAGACTGTATCATAAAAAGTGTAATGTAACTGTGTTGTCTATAATCAGCACAATTTAAGTATGAAGACAACATGTAGTTTAAAGCAAAAAGAGATATACATACTGCATAGACCCTAGTCAATTAAAAGCAAGTTGGAGTGCCTATTTTACTATAAGACCAAGTCAACTTCAGAACAAGGATTTTTGTAAGATTAATGTAGTGGATATAATAGTTCCAAAGGCATATGAACCTAACTAGCAAACCTTCATAATACATGAAGCAAAACTGACAGGTTTGAAAAGAGAAATAGACAAATCCACAATCAAGAGTTAAAGATTTTAATATTCCTTTCTTACTAATATATAGACTAAGTGGTCTGAATCACAGGATACAGTACTGAGCAACAATGTCAGCAAACCTAACCTAACTGACATTCAGAGAATACTTCACCCAACAGCAGCAGGATACAAATTCCATTGAAGTACACATAGAACATTCACCAAGACAGATCATATTCTAGGATATAAGTAACTCTCAATAAATTCACAGGGTTTTAAAACATACCAAGTATGTTTTCTGACTATAGTGTAATTAAATTAGGAATCAATATTGAGAATATACCTGTAAAATCCTTAAAAATATTTTAAATAAACAATGCACTTCTAAATAAGCAGTGAGCACAGGAAGAAATCATAGTGGAAATTAGATTTTTCAAATTGATGATAAAAGAAGAGTATACCAAAATATGTGCAAAGCTGCTAAAGCAGTACTTAATGGGGAGTTCATGTGTTTTAATAAATATGTTAGAAGATAACAATAATGAAAAATTAATGATCCTAAGTCTACACAAAAATTTGTATATTAATGTTCATAGCAGCACCATTCATAATGGCTAAAAGTGAAAATAACCTAATGAACTCATAAGCAAAACATATCCATGTAGTGGAATATTATTCAGTGATAAAGAAATGAAGTGCTGATATGTGCTAAAGTATGGATGAACCTTTGAATTTTTTCTTAGTTTTAAAAAAGTATCTCAGGAATGTTATATAAATGGGAAGAAATAAATATGTAACCTTTTGAGAGTGGTTCTTTTTTGCTGAGCATAATTTCCTGGAGACTCATTCATGTTGCCCTTTATCAATACTTTGTTCTTTTTATTAATGAGTAGTATGTCTTTGATATGCATGTACCAGTTCATTTGATACTTCATCCATGTATCAAATGAACTGGTATATTTGGCATCTGGAATGTCTCCAAGTTTGGGCTCTTACAAATACAATACACCTGCTATAAACATTGATTTCTGTATAAACATAAATTTTCATTTCTCCTGAGATAAATGCTCAAGAGTACATTAGCTGGGTTTTGAGATAGCTCTTGTTAGTTTTTTAACTGCCAAACTGTTGTCCAAAACAGCCATATCATTTAACACTCTGACCAGCAATGTATGAGTGATGTAATTTCTCTGCATTCTTGCCAACATTTGGTGTTTTCACTATTTTTTAAATTTTAGTCATTTTAATAGCTACGTAGTAATATCTTATTGTAGTGATATTTTGTTTTAGATATCTTATTGTAGCATTTCCCTGATGTCTAATGATGCCAACATCTTTCCATATGCTTACTTACCATCTTTTTCAGTGAAATATTTCTTCATGTCTGCTGATTTTCTAATTGAGGTGTTTGTTCATTTATAGAGTTTAGAGAGTTCTTTTTGTATTCTAAATATAAGTCCTTTGTCAAGTAGGAGGTTTACAGATATTTCCTCCTGGTCTGTAACTGTCTTGTCATCTTCCTAACAGTTTTTCTCAGGCCAAATTTGTTTCAATTTCTATAAAGTCCAGTTTGTCAATTTTTCCTCTATGAGTCATGAGTTTTTGGTGTCAACGCTTTGTCTAGATTCTGAAGAATTTATTTTTTCCTAAAAGTTTTTTATTTACATTTTTATTTTTTAAATTTGTGATTTTCAGTTAATATTTTTTTTACAAGGTATGAGACATAGATTGAAGTATAGTTTTTGCCATTGGATGTCCAGTTGTTCCATGCTATTTATTGGAATGACTCTCTAACACTTGAGCTGCTTTTGCACCTTTGTTAAAATACAATTGAGCTTTTTGGATGAGTCTAAATGCTGAGACCTCTTATTTTGTTCTCTTCACCAATACCACCCAGTTTTGATTACTCTAGCTGTATAGTAGTTCTTCAGAATTGTTTTAACTATCCTAGTTCCTTTACCTTTCTGTATAAATTTTGGAATAAACTTGTCTCTGTCTGCAAATAACCTTGCTGCAATTTTGGTAGAAATCGCATTAAGTCTGAATATCAACTTAGGGAGAATTAACATGTTCTATCTTCTAGTACATGAGTACAACATAGCTCCCTTTATTTGGATCTCTGTATTTTTTCATCAGTGTTTAAATTGTTTTCAGCATACAAATCCCATTTTAGTGTCCATGTATTCATTGCTAGTGAGTTGATTTTTTTATGTTGATCTTGTATCTTACAATCTTGCTAAATTGACTTATTAGCTGTGTCTTCTATGAATAGAGACAATTTATTTTCTTTCTTTGTAATCTGTATACCTTTGATTCCTTTTTTTTTTTTTTTTTTTTGCCTTATGCATTGGCTAATACTTCCAGCATCATTTGCTAGCATTATGTTGAATAATAGTGTTGCCCATCTTAGGGGGAATGCATTCAGCCTTGCACCGGTAAAGTATAATGTTAATTGTAGAGTTGTCTCAGATGCTCTTAGGGTCATATGCTTTTTCTTCTTTAGTCTGGAGAAGTATATCGATTGATCGTTGAGTACCAAACCAGCCTCATATCCCTGGAATAAATCCCACTTGATCATGGTGAATACTTATTTTAAATGACTGAATTCTATTTTATAATACCATGTTAAGTATTTTTGCAGCCATATTTGTGAGGAATATCAGTTTGTAGTTTTCGTTTTTCATACTGACCTCAAGGTGATTCAGCTTCATAAATGAATGGGGAAATGTTTCTTTCTCTTCTATTTCTGGAAGAGATTATAAGGAATTTGTATTAATTTTAATTTGTTAAATGTTTATAGAATTTTCCTTTGAAACCATATTGGCTTGGATTTTTATTCTGAGGGAGTTTTAAGTGATTAATTCAAACTCCTTGATAGTTACAGAGCTATTCAAATAATCTTCGATATTTGGTGAGATTTGGTAGCTTGTGTTTCTTAAGAAAGTGATCCATTTTTTTCTAAGTTGCCAAATTTATGTGTGTAGAATTGTTTGTAGTATTCCCTTATTATCTCTTGATGTCTATAGGTCTCTACTGATATCCTATGTTTCATTCCCGATACTGGTCATTTATTTATATATTTATTTTTGGTTAACTTTATTAAAGGTCTTTCAGCTTAACTGATTTTTTTTAAAAACCAGCCTTTTGTTTCATAAATTATTATCTTTTTGTTTCCTAATTTTAAATCCATTAGATTCCAGGTCATATCTTTATTATTTTCTTTCTCTTGCTTTCAGTTTACTTTACTTCTCTTTTTATAGGTTCTAGAGGTAGAAGCTGAGATTATTTTAGACTTTTCTCACATGCATGCAATTAGTGTTACACAGGTTTACTATCTTTTATTGCTTTCAGAGTGTTCCATATTTTGGAGTGTTTGGATTTGGGAATATATTTATGGACTTCACTGGTTGAGCATCCTTAATCTAAAAACCCTAAGTCAGAAATTCTCTAAAATCCAAATCTTGACATGCCAGCATGATGCTGTAAAAGCTTTTGATTTTGGATATTGAATTTTTTGGATTAGGGATACTGAACCTGCATATGCATTTTCCTAAATGTGTGTGCGTATTTGGTGCTGTTAATGTCTCTCAGTCCTTATTTAGTTGCATCTCACAAATTTTGCCACATCTTATTTTCATTAACTAAAATTTACTGATTTTTTTCTTTCTTTCTTTCTTCCTTCTCGGTACTGGGGATTGGACCCAGGGTTGCTTAACTACTGAGCCATATCCCCAGTCCTTTTTTATATTTTTATTTAGAGACAGGGCCTTGCTAAGTTGTTAAGGCTGGCTATGAACTTTCAATCCTCCTTCCTCATCCTCCCAAACCTCTGGGATTACAGGTGTGCACCACTATACTTGGCTCTGATTTTTCTTAAGACTTTTTTCTTGATTCATAAATTATGGAGAATTATGCTGCTTAATTTCCAAATATCCAGATATTTTTCCTGCTATCTTTTTAGTTACTGATTTCTGGTTTGATTCCACTGTGGTCAGAGAACACACTCAGTTTGATCTCGATTTCATTAAATTTGTTCTGGGGCACTAGAGTGCATATTCTGCTCTTGTTGATTAAATCTTTTATACATGTTGGTTAGGTACTACTTGGTGATATGGTGTTGACTCTTTCACATCCCTACTGATTTTCTGTGTTGGTTGTTCTGACAAGTGTTAAGAGAGGGTTTATTGATGTCTCTAACATATTGTGAATTTGTGTATTTCGCCTTTCAGTTATATCCGTATTTTTAAAATTGAGCTATAATTCACATGACATAAAATTTACCAGTTTAGCTATTTTAAATAAAAGTGTATAATTCAGAGGCATTTAGAATGTTCACAATGTTGTGAAACTATCACCTCTAATTCCAAAAATTCTTCATTACCTGAGAAGGGTATTTGTGTGCATTCTCTTCTACCCTAGCCCCTGACAACCACTTGTCTACTTTGTGTCTTTATAGACTTTACTACTGGTTATTTCATATAAATGTGACCTTTTATGCTCAGCTTTTTTCTTTTAGCATATTTTTTTTTCTTGTGCTGAAGATTGAACCCAGAACATTGCAAATGCTGGGTACTCTACCACTGAGCTGCATCTTCAGTTCTAACATTACATTTTTAAAGGTCATTCATGTATCAGTAATTCATTCCTTTTTCGACTAAATAATATTCATTATATGGACATACCACATTTTGTTTATCCATTCAACAGCTGTTTTTTGTTGTTGTTGTTGTTGTTTCTACCTTCTGACGTTTTTGAATATTGCTACTATGAATATTTGTATACAAGTTTTTGTTAGAACGCCTTTAAAAAAATATTTTGGGTATATTCATAGAAGTGGAATTGCTAGGCCATTTTGTGTGTTTGGGTGGGGGGTCTGGAGACTGAACCCAGGGCCTCAGGCATGCTAGGCAAGTGCTCTATTGCTGAGCTATCTACCTGAGCCCCAGTATGGTAATTTTGTGTTTAATTTTTTTATGAACTGCCTAACTTTGCTTTTTACAAAAGCTGTACCATTTTACATTCTCATGCTAATAATGTCTGAGGGTTCCAATGTCTCCACATTTTTACCAACTCCTGTTATTTTATTTTTTAGTATATTAACTCAAAATGAGTCTCAGATATGAACAAAAAAGCTAGAACTATATAATTTACAGAAGCAAACACAAGAAGGTCTTCATGAAATTGGGAATGGCATTTGTTGATAGGTTAGAAGAAGGCATGTCTTTTAAAGAAAAATTTAGAGATTGGGCTTTTTCACCATTAATAACTTCCTAACATTTCTAGGAAAATAAAATGCAAACCACAGTCTGGGATAAAATATTTCCTATATTTCAATCTTGCAGAAAACCTTTATGTAAGTTGTAAAGAACACTTTACTGTATGTACACTGAAGTCTTTAAAGAATCCTATCTTTAAGTAAGCAAAAAGATTTTAACATATTCTTCACAAAACAAGATATATGCATGTAATAAATTGTAACTAGTACTATTTTTTGTATAATAATTTTCAGCTTTATCAAAACAGATTGTTCTTTTAGATACACTGTTTCATTAGTGAGGAGGAAATCGCTACATACATGTATTGATATAAAAATACATTGCATGTATATTCTTGATTAACAACATAAGAATGTAAAAAATATGTATAGACCCTTTTAGAATATCTTAATGTAATTCACATACATAAGATCAAACTGTGCAGAAAAGTTAATAACACGATAAATGAAGGCATATCAGGTATTTATGAACAAATAGGAAGCAGATAGATTCAGGGTTATCACCAGATAAACTAGAACATCAAACAAATCCTAAGTATTACAGATAAAAAATATAATTGATACTGAAGGTGTAATAAAAGAAACATCTAATCTTCCATGTAGCATTGCCTTGAAATACATAATTTTTAAAGCTGTTAGAAATCTAAAGGAAATTTACCAGCATAATGCAAGGGAAATGCGAGAAATTAGTAAGAAATATTTTAATCAACTAACTAAATATTCAAAAACATCTTTCTCGGTTATTGATTGAAGAGAAAAACTGCAACTATTTAGAGGATACTATTTCTACATATCAAAATATATAAGATTTTATAATACTGATACCTGTGGCAATTAGTGAGAAGTTTAGTGGGAAAAAAATAGTGAACTTAGAAAAAGGATACAAATTCAAGTATTAGAGCGAGAATGTATAAGGAAATAAAGATTACAAGTGGAAATTAACTAAGATTAGGAAAACACACTATCATCAATTAATCCAGTTGGTTACTATTAGGGAAAAACTAAGACATTTTATCAAAAAGAACATAAGAAAGAAAAAGTCCAAATAGATTTAGAAAGGATAAGTGGTCTATCAAAGGAAATATAGAGACGATCAGGGGAAAAAAGAGAGGTTACTTATTCAATTATATATTAATGTGGAAATCTAAACCAGCCGATTTTCCAAATTAAAAATAATTTCAAAAAAATGTAGTATGATCAGGCAAAATATTATGACAGCTATCTCCTACCTCCAATACTTTTGTGCCTTGCCTCATGTCCTCTCAGTCCCACCTCTGATTTCAGTGACAGCTATGGAGAACTTTTATGAAAGCTTAGACTGACTTGGTGCTGACAGTTTCTGGGAGCAGAAAGTTAACATCCACATACTCCTCACAAGGTCCTGTCAAGACTGAGCCTCAGTTGTCCACCATGGTCACCAGCTCAGCAATGTAACATTGTGTGTTAGCTTTTCTTCCTTTCCCGTTTTACTCTGCTTGTCCCTCACTGCTGTTTACTGGGATTATCTCCCCCAGTAAAATGTCTAGTCTTTGTAGGAGAATCCAGACTAGGAGATCTCCTGAAAGTTCCCTGAGTCAAAGTAGTTTTATAGCAAATTATTTCAAAGTTTCAATGACCAGCTGTTTCTAAAACCACAGAATGGAAAATCATGCAGTTCATGGTATATAATTAGAATAATACTGATCTAGACTTATCAAAGAGTACAGGAACACTCTACATTGGAAATATTTTATTTTTGCCAAACATTTACCTGTTTTTTAGCTAGATGTCTTCACTATTGAATTGAACTAAAATTTTGTATGGGAGATGGATTTCAGGAAATATCAACTATATTACTATATTAATTTTGGTATATATTACATTTCTGTATGCAGAGTGTTATGATAAACTCCAGAGGAATTCCAACCAAATGAGACAGTAACTCTGCCCTCAATGAGCCTTCTACATAATACATAGCAAATAAACACAAAATATATATTATAGAAACATTTATGCAGCCAGCATCCCAATGAAAAACAAAATATGTCCTCTAGGAAATATTTTCAATAGGGCATATGACATATTATATATATAATATACAATTAGATGATAAATTGATGTTTTTTAATTAAGAGGCCAGAAAGGAAGATGAATATTAGACTGGAGAAAACTTTATAGACAGAGTAGGACTTCAAGGTACATAATGAAGAAGGGATAAAGAAGAGATGAATACTCAATGTAGCTATATATAGGGAACAGTGTTGATAAAGCTGATGTTCACTTACTCCTACCCACCCTTTTTGGAAACAGTTGTTTTACTATATTATAAAAACTAAAAAGTAAAAACGACTCTTCTTTTAGTTAAGGTCTTCATATGACCTAGATTATCTCCCACACTTGTCTCCCTCCTTTTAAGGTGTGAAGATACAAGTGAGCAAAATGAGATAACAGCCACACCACAGGAAGAACAGATCATTTGGGGGCAGTTTTGACAGCATTGTCATGGGGAAACATTGGTTTCCTGGTCCTTCCAGAAGTCCTGTATGCAACACAATGACCTGTAGTAAATCTTTTATGGTCCCTGTTATTTGTAAGAACCCTCACCAATACAGGTGTTAAGACAGTTATTTTAGATGCATTGAGGATATTGGCTTACATGGAGCTTGTGCTAGAATTGGGCAAAGTTGGTTAGATTTTTTAAAAAGGAATTATAAATAAATATATATATATATGTATATATATATGTAAATTATAACTATATATAATATGTATATATGTATACATATACATATAATTTTTTATAACAGTCCTAATTGAATAGACAGATGATAAAGCAAGACTAGTAAAACATAATTAGAATTTAGGTATTAGATATGGATGATTACTGTAAAATTCTTTAAATTTTTTGGTGTGTTTGAAATTTTTCATCAGTGTTTGGAAAATAAAACTTGGAGGAAAAGAGTTTTGCTGCTTCAAGTGAATTTGAATTTCCCTGAAAATTGTCTAATTGTCATTGTTAGATTATTGTTTTTAAATTTTAAAGAATTTTGAGAATGAAAAGAGTATTAGAAGACTAAAGTTGGATAAATGCAGCTTTGATAAACAGGAAGTTGGAAACTGAAAAATACTTAGTGGTTTGGACAGCTGTTTCCGGCAAGTTTCTAGAATGATTCATAGTTGGTGCACATTTCAGAGACCACAGATTAAAACAGTCAGGTGTGCAAAATTAACTCTTTTCAAAGTGTAATATGTTAATTATGAGTATAGAACCAAGATCAGAAATATATACAGTAATAGAAGGCTATCCAAAGGAATGTGTCCTTTATCCAAATAGTTTTAAATGGTGGGGCAAAGTGTCATAAAAAGGCATAATTTTTTTAGTTTTTCATAATTGATTTCATATTGTAATATTAAACTTAGCCAATTGTCTCACTCTTTGTAAATTGGATTTAAGAAAATGATTACTAAATTAACTTATCTACATTATTTAGGAAAAAGTAGAAGAGAAATTGAGAAAGCAGAGAGAGTTGAAGCAAGATTTTGAAGAACAAATGGCTTTGAAGGAATTAGTATTACAGGCTGCAAAAGAAGAAGAGGAGGCTTTTAGAAAAACAATGCTAGCTAAACTTGCTGAGGACGACCGAATAGAATTAATGAATGCTCAGAAACAAAGAATGAAGCAACTGGAACATAGAAGGGCTGTGGAAAAACTTATTGAAGAACGTCGCAACCAATTTCTTGCAGACAAGGTAAGAATAAAAGGTTTTTTGTTGGCACTGAACAGCAGTCAACTTATCTGTTCATCCACTAAACATTTACTGAGACCTTTTTATATGCCAGTGTTAGATATCTGTTTATCAATCATACGATATATTTTCTGACCAAGCATTTATTAAGGAATCAAGAAACTATTTATTGGTGTTTTGTATGTGCTAAATACGGTTTGGTGTTGAGAACCTAAAGGTAAAATACAGCTAAGTCTATGTCATCTGTGAATTTATGGTCTTGGTGGAGAGAACAATACAAAAACTAATTATAAAGATATGTCACATGCATGTACTGTTATATAGACATGCATGGTATTGATGGCAGAGTAGAGCTGACAGGGCATGAGTACCTGGAACACTGCGTTAAGAAGCTGGACCTTTACCAGTGAGAATCACTGAACGAGGAGAACTGGGAGGTCAGACAAGTGTCGCAGGGTCAGAACCCCTGCAGGCAGTCCTGAGAGGGCCACATGTAAAGCTGTGAAAAGGAAGGTATTTTGGTCACAGCAACAAAAGCCTAACACACCTTGGAATCATTCCTAGATTTTCCCTCTTATTCAATTAATGATTTTTAGTTGGTTACCAAATTGTACTGATTCTACCTCAGCAATTACTCTGAAATCTAGTTCATTTGTAACTTTGTTCAGACATTCAGTAGCATTCCCATAGACTAACTATCTTGCTTATAAAAAAGTAGAACCAGTGACTGACTGTCCTCTCTCATGGCTTGGAGAGAGAGTCAGCAAGACAGCTACAAATGGCAATGAAATAAAACCACCTCAACATACCTTATATACAATCAGAGACATGATAAATTGTGGTATAAAGGTGTATTAAGAATTGTAATGCAAAAAAATAATAATAATAATTTTTTGAGGCAGAAGATGGAAAAAAAGAAAGAAAACCACCTAATGCATAAATTGTAAATTATAAAATTTATGTCTTAATTTTTTTAAAAAAATCATGGACAGCCCCAGTATGAGGCTGTGGACTTAGCTTTAAGTGTCAGGAGGATTGGGCCATGTTTTTGTTTTGGCCTCAGGCAACAAAAAATCATCATTCCATTAGACTTACACTGCTAAGCGTGAGGTTCTGATCCTGCTTTTTAAGAGTTCAGAACTATTCCTAGCTAGTGTTTACCTCTAAAGAGTTTTGTAATTAGACAAAATCTGAAACTCCCCATAATTTCCTACTATGAGAGCTATTCAGAATTTCTCTTATATGGGTAAATAGGTTTCATGCTGTCTAAGTCATTTACACTATTTACCAGAATTTTTTTTTAGGATATACACTTACTGTGACCAGTGTCCAAGGAAGGAAATTGCTATATTTTACCTAACTGAGATACTCTTCATTATTGGACAAAAATCTAAGTGTGCCTTCCCCCAATATTACAGGAGTTTCTTACATCTCCCCTTTATTAAGAATGTCACAATTAGAAATTGAGTCTCATTAACGGTAGATGAGTGGTTAGTTTATTGTTCTCTCATATGAAAATCTACAGGTAGGCAATCCAGGGCTGAAATGGAAGTGTGTTCCATGGTCTTCAGGGACTCAGACTCCTTCCAGCTTTTCACTCCGGCATCTATGGGTGTAACCCATAGATGTGTATGATCTCAGCTAGATCTTTAGCCTTTGTATCCATGTTTCAAGCAGAGATAGTGATAAAAGGTGGAAGCTTCCATATGAAGGTCATTTACATTCCACTGACTTTGTGGCCACAGCTGGCTATAAAGAAGCCTTAGAATTGTAACTCAAAAAATAAAAATCAGGTACAACAATTTCATGGCAGATTCCAATACCCTATTTTATCTTAGAGACAAATTAATTAAGAGCAACTCAACCCTTGATTCAATAGCAAGAATAATCAGTGAGTAAGAGTGTAAGTTTTTTCTCAGTTGAACATCAATGTTTTCTTATTCTGTAAAAAATAAAAATTTATCTAATATAGTAGATAAAAATATTTTGAGAAGCAGTTCCAGTTTTCAGTCACATTGGATTGGCTGTGTGCCAGCATTCTTTTTTATATTTATCCAGTAACTTAGATGAGTTATTAGCTTATATAGGAGTTTGTTTTCACATACTCCGTTATGGTTTATATATCTTTGATGAGGAGTAGACTGAATAAGTAGTGACCTCAGTGTATTATTTCAAGGGAAAATTTAGCATTACTCTCAAGCAATTCCTGGTAGAGATGCATCACTATTTCAATGATCTGCATTTTGTATCCTTCCCTATCCAATAGGCACATTTGGATACAGTTCCATGAGTCCCTAATTAAGACCTCAAACTTTGACCTACAGTCATAACATTTGCACTACATGGCACAGAATTTTAATGTGATTGAGTGTTAAGAGTTTTTCCTGAGAAATGCTGGTTCTTCTGCTGGAATTCTTGCTGTTTCTCCTGTGCTTCATATGGACTTTGAAAAAATTTGATGTATATAAGAAAATATTTATCCTTTAGATAACTCTGTTTTATTCACTAATTGTTTTTGTCTTACACAGTAAACTGTTTTTACACTGTTTATTAGGAAATCATTCCTTTAATACTTGGTATTGACATTTTGCTATATATACTTGTTTCCTTAAAAAATTGTAGTCATAACTATTATTCTTGTAACTTTAAAAAATGAAAAAAGTTATGTGTGTACATATAAAATAGTATGAGATATTATGCACTAATATCTTTTGAACTTATTGTCACAAATAATTCATTAATTTTATCACCCAATTCACTGAAAGAATAGTTTTATTTGAAAACTTTTTAAAAGATTAACCTATTCCATGACCATTAATAAAACCTGATTTGCATTTCCAGCAACGTGAGCTGGAAGAATGGCAGTTACAGCAAAGAAGACAAGGTTGTATTAACAATATTATTGAGGAAGAAAGGCTAAAACTTCTCAAAGAACATGCTACAAAATTATTAGGATATCTCCCTAAGGTAAGTGAGATTTAGCTCAAGGTATAATCTTCGTGGCCTCTAATAGTGGAAAAAATGTGATATTAGAACAGACACTAGTATGGCAATATGTAAATCAATGGATGTGTAACTGATGTGATTCTGCAATCTGTATATGGGGTAAAAATGGGAGTTCTTAACCCACTTGAATCAAAGTGTGAAATATGATATATCAAGAACTATGTAATGTTTTGAACAACCAACAATAAAAAATTTTAAAAAAAATTTAAAAAATAAATAAATAAATAAAAACTGGTTTGTTCTTGAAAAAAAAAAAAAGAATATCAGAAAATGAAGTTGTCACACATATCTTGCTCTGTTATAAAGCATTAGTGGAACTTTGGCCAGGCATTGAATCTCACTGGGATCATATTTAAACATCTCTAAAATGAGAGAATTGGTCTTGGCACATTGAGCTATGAGATTATTTATTGAATTTAGATTTTAGGCTCTTTTTTCCCTTTTCAGCATCAGAGATCTAGAAATAAACCACCCTAAAGCAACCACAATACTTTATGTACCAATGTGAAAACATTGTAATTGGTAACACAGTGACAGGCCTATGCTTGAACTGAGTTTGAGACAGATCTTTTCTATATTAGGAGGTTATGTTATAACTAGGTCTAGGTAACTTTAATTTTTAAAAGTAATTCCAAAAGATCATACATTTTCATAGATATCTCATAAAATAATGAGTTTCATAGGTCACCTCAACATCTAGACTCATATAATTAAAATCACCATCCTTCAAATATATAAATCTCTTTTGATTTTTTACTAATGTCATAGAATCAAATGCATCTTTAATGTTCAGTCCAAAACTAAGGAAGAAGAAAGATAAATATATGAGTAATTATTGCCTGGCTTCAGGACCTTATAGTCTAATTGTTTAGAATTAATGAAATTAGTTATGTTTATTATTATTCTCAATGGACTTATTAATGAAAAATCTATATGTAATTGATAAATTTCATAAAATAGTTATAAATTCTAGGAGAGTAACTGAGTGTCAATATTTTTTGTGGGGAGAATAATTGTGGAGGCAGGAGGATGATCTAATAATCCTGATCACCCAAAAATGACCTTTATTCTTTGTCCTAATGGCCCCAAATGACCTAAATGATTGTATTAATCATTTGGAAAATATTGATTTAAGTTTCATAAATTTTATTGAATAAATTTCATTGTTTTGGATAACTTAACTAACCTCTTCCTTTAGAATGCAAGATAAATATTTCAGTTTAATTTTGTTTTAAAGAGGCTTTTGCTGTTTTCTATAGGGGAAAAGAAAAATAAATAGAAGTATGAAGAATTTCAAAGGGCTTGTTTAAATGACTTAACTCCAAATCTGGATTCTTTCCTGACAGATAGAATGTTCACTGATTAGCCATAGAAGAGAGGCATGAAGAACTGATTCCATGTATGAGTCTAGTAGAGCTTAGTCTCTTCACCTTTAACCTCCATCTTATTATAGAACTGTTTTAGACAAGAGTAGGGTACAATATAAATTCCTTTCCTTCCAGGCAATTGTAATTATAAAGTGGAAGATCCCAGATTCCTATCACAAGTTCCTGCTCTGGATCTGATAAGTCAGGAAATTAGGTCTAAGAATACTTATAATGTAAAGTCATATTTTTGGAAAATATTGATTTAAGTTTCATAAATTTATTGAATATATTTCATTGTTTTGGATAACTTTACTAAACTCATGTCTGTGTATTTGTTAGTCTTAAAGCATTTAGTGCAATATTCTGGCATTCAAAAAGTAACACAAAATATTTTTCTTATAGGGAATATTTAAAAAAGAGGATGATATTGATATGCTTGGTGAAGAGTTTAGGAAAGCATATCAGAAAAGGAAGGAAATTTGTGAAGAAAAGTGATACCATCAAACTTGGTAAAATCTGGATTTTTCTGTATATTACCACTAGATGTCAGCGTAACTATTGTTTTAGAGTTAGAGTAGGAATGTTTTCTTGCATTTTCTATCACTGTATTTCATAATTTATAAACAAGTGTCAGATGAATATTTTAACTGAAAATTTATTTTACATATATGCATGCATATGTGCTCCTAGGCTCCAAACCTAGGAGGCTAGCTTCTCAGTACCTGTCCTACTGTTCAGAGATTTTTTTTTTGCATCCCATCTTCTAGACGGTCTATTTACCTTAGTTTATACCAAGTTCTAGGTTCTAGTGAACTGCCTCCATCTCTAGTTATGTTTAGCAACTTTACTAATTTGGTTTGGCCAGGGAAATGCATATTTAGACTTTGGTTTTAAAGTACATTTTGCTGTCAAATATAAAAGAGGAGAATAGTAAATAAAGAGAGTAAGAATTTAAAGTGCTTTATTACTGGATGAGCTTGATCATCATAGGTACTTAAAAAGAATCTCTCTAGTTCATAAATGAATATAAAATTATTAGAACATACATAATTTTTGACAGTAAATTTACATGTATTTATCATGTTTGACAGTGTTTAAAAGTATAAATACATTGTGCAATGATTAAATCTAGCTAATTTACACATATATTAACTCACATAGTTACCATTTTTGTGTTAAGAGCACATAACAACCATTTTTTGCATTTTTCAAGAACATAATATATTGTCATTAAACATAGTCATCATGCTATGTAATAAATACCTTATTCCTCTTAGTTGTGATTATGTATCCTTAGACCAACATATCTATATGTCCCCTCCAATCACTCATCCTTGCTGCAGTCCGGCTGCAGCAAAATAACGGGGGTGGGGGGTGGGGGGGGTGGGTGACGAGCAACTTGTGTACATTGATACAGCAGGAGTGGGAGCCGTTTATTGTAGGACAGGAGGGGTATTTATACATTCCACACAGCTTATCTTAATTAACATAAACTAGATACAGCAGTCAACCAATAAGGAATCTCCACACTTAATGGCTCGCTGGTGTTACTTCACAAACCACTCCCTCTGGCAAAATGCCAGGCGCCATCTTGACTTGTTTACAGACCCTAACACATCCTCTGGCAACCACAATTCTGGTCTCTACTTGTGAGATTAGCTTTTTTTTTCCCCCCCCCCAGAAACTACATGAGCGAGATCGTACATTGTCTTTCTGTGCCTGGCTTATTATGATAACATAATGTCCTCAAGGTCATCCATGTTACTGCAAATGATGGCATTTCATTCTTTTTGTTTGTTTGAATAGTATCACATTATGTATATTTATCACATTTTCTTTATCCATTCATCCATTGTTACATATAGGTTAATTCTATATTTTGATTATTGTGAAAAGTGTTGCAGTAAACACAGGCGTGCACATGTTTCTTCACCATATGGATTTCATTTATTTTGGATATATATCCAATAATGGGATTACTATTTTTAATAAATGAGGAACTTATATACTGTTTTCCATAATGGCTCTGATAGTTTATATTCCCACCAACAGTGTGCAAGTTTTTCTTTTCTCCACACCCTTACCCAGTACTTGTTGTTATTAGTCTTTTTGGTAAACTCCATTCTAACTAGAGCAAAGTAGTATCTTGTTGTGGTTTTTATTCACATTTCCATGATCATTAATGATATTGAGCATTTTTTTCATATACTTGGCTTATATGTGTTCTTTGGGAAACGTCTAATTATGTCTTGCCCATTTGTAAAGTGGGATTTTTTTGTATTGTTATTAAATTGAGTTCCATATGTATTTTAGATATTATCAGATGTATACTTTGCAAAAAAAATTTTGACATTCTGTAGATGTCTCTTCACAGTTGACTGTTTATTGTATAGAAAGCTTTTAGTGTATTCTAAGTCCATTTAACTCATTGCTTGTGTTTTTGAGGTCATATCCAAAAAAATAATTGGCCACCACTAACCAGATCAATGTCTAGAAGCTTTTCCACTGTTTTCTTTTAGTAGTATCTTAATTTCAGGTATTACATTTAAGTCTTTGATCCATTTTGAATTAATTGTTGTATATATTGAGAGATAAGGGTCTGACATTCTTCTGCATGTGGATATCTGACTTTCCTAGTACCACTATTTTGAAGAGACCGTCCTCTCCCCATCATGTATTCTTGGCATCTTTGTTGAAAACCATTTGGTTGTAAATGCATTAATTTATTTGTGCTATTTTTTTTTTACCTTGGTCTATGTGTCTGTTTTTATGCCAGTACCATGCTGTTTTGGTTAATATAACTTTGTAATATGTTTTGAAATCAAGCATTATATGCCTCTGCCCCCCGCCCTTATGTTGGCTATTTGGGGTCTTTTGTATTTACACATGAATTTTAGGATTTTTTCCTATCTCTGTGAAGAATATAATAGGTGTTTTGAGGTGGACTTCATTGATATGTCTTTTTGGGTGGTATAAACATTTTAATAATATTTGTTCTTCTGTGAATATGGAACATCTTTCATTTGTATTTTTTTTCAATTTTTTTCATTCAATATTCTGTAGCTTTCAGAACAGATATCTTTTACCTCCTTTGTTAAATTTACCTTTTTTTCTTTGTTTTTGATAACTTTTGTAAAAAGGATTGCTTTTTTTTCCAGATAACTTTGCTATTAGTGTATTGAAATGCTACTGATTTATCATGTCGACTGTTGTATCCAATAACTTTACTGAATTTATTTGATCTAACAGATATTTGGTATAGTCCTTAGGGTCTTTTATATATAAATCATTTGCAAATAAGGACAGTTTTTCCTTTTCAATTTAGATACCTTTTATTTCTTTCTCTTGCCTAATAAAATGCCCTAGCCTAGGACCTCCTCTGGTATTTTGAATAAAAGTAGCACAAATCAGTTTCCTTGTCTTTTTCCAGAGTTTAGAGGAAAAGCTCAACTTTTCCATTTGGTACTATGTTAGCTATTTTGTCATATGACTTTGATTGTGCTGAGGAACATTCCCTCTATACCTGGTTTCTTCAGCATTTTTATCATAAAGGGATATTGAATTTTATCAAGTGTTTTTTATGCATCTGTTGAAAGTTTTTATTCTTCATTCCACTAGGGTGATATGTTTATATGTTGAATCATTTTGCATTCCTGGAATGATTTCCACTTGATCATGGTGAATGATGTTTATGTACTATTCAATTTGATATTTTGTTGATTTTTACATGTGTGTTCATCAGAGATGTGGCCTCTAATTTGTTTGGTTATGCCTTTTCTTATTTTGGTATCAGAGTGATGCTAGTCACTCGTGAGTTGAGTTTGGAAGAATTCCTTTTCTTTTCCTTTCTATTTTTAGGAACAGTGAGAAGAATTCCTATCCTTTAAATGATTGGTATGATTCAGCAGTGAAACCATCAGTGCTTTTCTTTGGAGACACTCATTATTGGTCTGTTAAGATTTTGTTTCTTCATAATTGCTTTAGTCAGCTTTTTCATCACTGTGACCAAAACATCTGACAAGAATAAGTAGAGGAAGAAAAGTTTATCTTGGTGGAATCCTCCATGATCCCCTTAATTCTAGCATCTTGCATTCCTGCAGAACCACACAGTTGATGCCAAGATCTCCTGCCATCTTGAGCAGTAGTCTCTAAGGACTGTGGTTGTAAGCAGCCTGAGTGGCTGAGCAAGGTGAAACTACTTCCTAGTCCCACCCCCACCCTGCAAGCAGGGTTCTCGCAGGGTTTCTTCTCAAAAGAACTTTTGCATCCTTGAGCCTGACATGGTTGTCATCTTGTCAATTTCTGAGATATCCTCAGAACATCAGTCTTTCCTGTTGTTTCTGAGTACTTACCAGTGTCTCTTTAATGACCACACCTTCCTTAGCCCCAGTTTTACTCACACTTCTCTGACCAAGTTTTTCAAATCTTTGCTTTCTGCTCCTAATTATCACAGTAAACTTGGTTAAAAGCTGCCAGTAATATCCATGCCACTGCCTGAATACTGTGCTGCCTTGAAATTTCCTCCATCAGATTAATTAGTCCATTATTTTAAATTCAGCCTCACAAAGACTCTTAGAACATGGGCAAAATGTAGACAACTTTTTTAGACTGTAGTTTAATTTCCAGTAGAATCGTTCTCTGAAACCTCATGAGCCCAATCTTTACTCTCCACTGTCCTGTGGACATTCTAGTCTTATGAAACCCCACCAGATTCACCCATTAAGCTTTGCTTATAACACTTAAAGTTTTTCAGTTTGCATCTCCAAACTTTAGCAAATTCCACCCTCCAAGAATTAGCTCCAAATGCTTCCAAACCATGTGACCAGGTTAGTCACATCAATGACCCTACTTCTCAGTACCAATTTCTGTTTTAATCAGTATTTTTGGCTGCTATAACCAAAAGAGCTGACAAGAACAATTTGAGAAAAAGAAAATTTTATTTGGCTGATGGTTTCAGAGGTCTCAGTCCATAGATGGCTGGTTCCGTAGCTCTGGGCCCAAGAAGAGGTTGGACATCATGGCAGAGAGTATGGTGAAGGAAAGCAACTCAGAACATGGCAATTAGGAAGCAGAGAATTCTGCTCACCATGGACACAATATAAACCCCAAAGGCCCAGTGACCTGTCTCCTCCACCCAGTTGATCCATATCAGAGGATTAAGCCATTATTCCTCTCATAATCCAATTGTTTCATCTCTGAACAATGGGAACACCTCATATCTAAACCATAAATAACAATAATTCAATCATAGTAGGTTGTGTGCATCCAGAAATTTATTTCTTGTAACTTATCCAACTTGGTGTCATATAACTATTAGTCTCATGATCCTTTTTAATGTCTTTTTCATCTGATTTTGAATCTTTTATTCAACTTTAGTCTTGTTCAAGTTTAGATAACTGTAATCTTTTCCAAAACCAACCTTTTTTTTTTTCATTAATTTTTTGCACAGGTTGATTATCCATTATCTGAAATGCTTTGGACCAGAATATTTTCATATATAATATCTTGGAGGTGAAACTCTATCCTAAACATGAAATACATTTTATATTCCATATGCACATACCCTGAAGGCAATTTCTTACAGTATTTTTAGCATAACTATGTTTTAACTACAACCTGTCACATTAAGTGTTTTTCGTTTTTGGCATTAGGTCAGACAAAATGTCTTGGATTTTGGAGGATTGATGATTTTGGATTTTTAGAGTAGGGATATCCAACCTGGCTCATTTTCCTAGTTCCAGTTTCCCTTATGTCTGATCTTTATTATTTCCTTTCTTGTACTAATTTTGAATTGAGCTTGTTTTTTCTAATTCCTTGAGGTGCAATTTTGGTGTTTTGAACTATTTCCTTTTTGAAATACGCATTTATTGCTTTGAACTTCCCTTAGAAATGCTTTAGTTTTCATTTTTCCTCTCAAATTCAAAATTTACCTTTTCCTCACTGATTGCTGGTTATTCAGGAGCATATTGTTTAACTTCCGTGTATTTGTAAAGTTTCTGAAGTTCCTTCTGTTACCAATTTATAGTTTTATACCATTGTGGCTAAAAAAAGATACTTGATGTAATTTTATTAAAATTTGTTTTGTGGACTAATGTGATCTATCCTGAAGAATGTTTTAAGTGCACTTAAAAATACGTATTTTGTTCTTGGATGGAATTTTGTTTTTTAGAAGTGAAACATTCAATGTTTGATTTTTCTCTCAATTTATCCATTATTGAATGTGGGTCATTGAGGTCCTACACCATCTTTCCCTTCAGATCATTTAATAAAAACTGCTATATGTATTTAGGTGCATACATATTTGACAATTTCTTATTAATGCTCTTGATATTACATAATGACCTTTGAATCTAGTTTGTGTCTAATGTGTACTTTGACATAACTATCCTAGTTCTCTCTGTATGAAATATGTTTTTGCCATCCCTTTACTTTGTGTACATCCTGAGTCTTACAGGAAGTGTACGGGTGGATTTTGTTATTTATCCATTTAGCTCCTCTTATTTGGAAAATTTAATCCATTAACATTCCAGATGATTATCATCAGCATTTACTACTACTGTTTTGTGATTCTGCTTTGTTGATCTTCCACTCTTAGGGCCTTTGTGGCTGAGTAATGTTCTCTAATTGCATGTGTTTTTTTTTTGTTGTTTTTTTAAATTAATTTTTTATTTATATATGACAGCAGAATGCATTACAATTTTTATTATACATATAAAGCACAATTTTTCTTTTTTCCCCCCAGTGGTGGTGCAGGGGATTGAACCCAGGGCCTTATACATGCTAGGCAAGCACTCTACCAACTGAGCTATATCCCCAGCCTCTAAAGCACAATTTTTCATATCTCTGGTTGTATACAAAGAATATTCACACCAATTTTTGTTTTCATCCATGTAATAATGTCAATCACATTCCATTATCATAATTGTATGATTTGATTCTTTTTATTTTTAGTGTACTACAGGCTTTTGCTTTGTGATTATTAAAGAGACTTGCACATCTCATAAAACAGGTTATTATGTTAAACTGATAACTTTGATCACATAATCCACTTTATATATTTGATGTCAGATTACATCTTTGTGCCTATTTACATCTCAGGCTTAACAAATTAATACTTTTAATTTTGCTAGTAAACCTTCTTCATACTAAACATACGTGATTTATATATTCCACCATTACAGTCCTCATTGGCTCTGGTGGTATTAGGAGCACTTATAGCAGGCCCACTTCAGTAAATCCCAACACTGGGCAGATGTCCCCTTGACTCCTAGTACCATTTAGGAATTCACAGTCCCTGCAAGACAGACAAGTCTGCTAGCCAGCGCAGCAGCCTTAGATTATGTACAGACCTCATCAGTAGGCAGACAGACCTCAGTGCCTGTAGGTTTCGGGTGCCAAATATTTCACCTGTGGGAAGGATCACTGGAGAGTCCTATTCTACCATTTGCTCCATCTCCCAGGATGTAAAATATTTTTAAGTGCAGTTGTAAAATATCAAAAAGGTCATAAGAAAAAAATTAAAAATGGTCATAAGAAATAGATTAAAAAATTCTTGCTGCTTTATTTTATACAATATTTCCTTTTTCATTAATAATTACATATGAGAAAGTTTTATAGCCCCACATCTAATTAGGAAATCTTTGAAGATTTTTGTGAAACTAAAAAGTTTTAACTTTTTAAGTTATAAAGACTAATTGAAGTAGATCATTCATGAATTGCCCCATTCAAGTGCCTTCATAAATTCTTCTTCAGTGAAAGATAGCATCTTGGCAGCTTCAATGTGCATCTGTTTAAAAAGAAATCAATATTGTCTGACTTAATATTGAGTAGACCTTAAAAAGGAAAGTGGGAGTACTATGAACTCCTTTCTTCCCACTACATATTAAGAGCAAGGAACAACAGTGATTTGGAATTAAAGTTCTTTAAGGTTTGAAAAGGAAAATAGTCACCTAAATAGTTATTGTTATATGTGATTCTATATTTGGCAAATATTTGTACCAGTCCCATTTTCCATGTAACTAATTTACTTGCATGATATATTATACAAGCTTATGTATAATAGATTTTATTTAGATAAAAATTTGTCTAAGGATACCAAAATGTAACAAAGTAAAACTCTAATACAAAGGTCCAGATAATATCTATAATCCGTCATTGATACTCACCTTCTGCCTTTTTAAAACATCAATTAATTTTAATTGTTTCTTAAACCCTATTATTAATTCTCCTTTTTGTTTTTCTAGCTTCTTGTTTTCTGATTTTAACATTTCAATTTTTTTGTGTTCTTCATTTGCTATATCCTACAAAAGAAAAATTTCTAGTATGTAATCTTTATATTTCTTTGAAGTAAATTATTTCACATCAGTAATAAAAATTATTTTTAACTGAAATATACATGTACATAAAATTTTCTTTGTATTACCAAATTACTGGAATTTGATAGCTTTAAATCATGGTCAGGTCATATTATAAACTTGTATTGAATGAACTCTGGACAGTTAACAAATATTTGAACCCCAAAAATACATTTCAAGGCATAGATGAGTAATCACTACTAAGCAAAATATGATCTTTAAAGGATATACTGGTTGAAGACCTCATTTACCTAGTTTTTCCTGAATGTACTTAACCAGTTCATGGGTTCACAGGGATAGACCTCAAACAAAAACAGTAGTCTTGTTGGACTAATAGTACTGCCAGGATGGTACAAATTTCTATGTGGAAATCCTTTAAAAAGCCCTTGAAATCTGCATACATACAGGGAACAGGTATAGTCTAAAAACTTAGCAGAGAATTCATGCACTGCTCATAAGGGAGACTAGATCATAGTAAAATTGTCTTATACAATGCAAAATCTCTCTGTATTTGAAATACTGAAATGTTTACTCTTTCATATAATAATAAAATGATACCAAAAGGAAATCACTGATACTTTTAATTTTGCCAGTAAATCTTCTTCATACTAAACATTACATGATTTATATATTCCACCATTATAGTCCTCCTTGGCTGTGGTGGTATTGGGGGCACTAAGAGCAGACCCACTGCAGATGTCCCAACACTGGGCAGATGTCCCATTTACTCCAGGCCAGTACACACACCCTAATGCCATTTAGGAACTCATGGTCCCTGCAAGACAGACAAGTCTGCTAGCCAAGGAAATCCAAATCTGTTTATGTAAACACATTTTAAAAAGGTTAAAAAAAAGAATACTAGAAAAAGTAAAGTGCAGTAAGTATAGGCTTCCCCACCACCACCACCATGGCACTGGGTATTGAAGCTAGGGGCATTCTACCACTGAGCATCCCAATTTCCCTTTTATTTTGAGACAGGAACTAAGTTGCAGAGGCTGGTTTTGAGTTTACAAGCCTTCTGTCTCAGCCTGCATTACTGGGATTACAGGCATGCACAGCCACACCCAGCTATACTTTTTCTTTAGGGAAAAAAAAACACTCTAAAAGTGATATTAGCAAGGGCTGGGTTTGTGGCTCAGTGGTAGAGTACTTGCCTGACATGTGTGAGGCACTGGGTTCGATTTCCAGCACCATATATAAATAAATGAATAAAATAAAAGTCGATATCAACTACTAAAAAAAGAAAAAAAGTGATGTTAGAAAGATGGCAGATTAGGAAGCTCCAGGCCTAAGTAGTTTTGTGAGAACTCTAGAAGTCAATTAGGCAGCAATGAAGAAAATGCCTAATCAAGCAAAAGCCACATATAAGATGGGCAGACATCACATGGTGTTTGTTTGCCTTTTCCCCACATCCTCCCTGGTACAGCCAATTCCAATTTCCTTCTCTGGGATGGAAGGGAAAATAGACTAAGTCAAAACTGTTATAAAAAATATTTATGCATCAAATATCAGAGTGCCTAAATGTATGAAGTAAACATGATAGGAGATTTAAAGAAAGAAACAACTCTACAATAATAGTAGAAAACACGAGTACCTTGCTTTGAATAATAGAAATAACCACTAGATAGAAAATGTGCACTTGAGAAAACTACCCATTGTTGGGAAGAGTTTATTCTTCTTTGGTCTAGTTGCTTTGTAGTAGTCAGGTCCCCTGTTTCCTTGTTTATTTTCTGACTACTACAAAGAATAAACTCTTCCCAACAATGGGTAGTTTTCTCAAGTGCACATGGAACATTCTCTAGGATAGATTAATCATAGACCACAAAAAAAAGTCTTAATAAATTTTAAAATGCTGAATTATTGGAATGAAATTAGAAAAACTGGAAAATCCACAAATTAAGCAACACAATCCTGTATCCGTCAACTTTTCATCACTATGACCAAATACCTGAGATCAACAATTAATTTTGGCCCATGGTTTTTAGTCCATGGTCACCTGGTCCTGGTGCTTTGGGCACAGTACATAACAGCAGGAGGTACAGGGCAGAGGCAGTCTGTTCACCTCAGTGCATCCAGGAAGCAACAAGAAGAAAGGGCTAGAGTCCCAATATCCCCTTCAAGGGCATGCCCCAATGACCTAACTTCCTTCCATAGGCCCTGTCTCCTAAAGGTCCACTAATGCCCATAGATTCATGGGCCACCAACAAGTCTTCAACACATGAGCCTTTGGGGGACATTCAGGATCCAAACTTTATAGCACATTCAAACTACCAGTGGGTCAAAGAAGATATAACTATGGAAATTAGAAAATCAATACACCAAAATGTATAGGATAGAGTATAAACATTGCTAATACTAATAATGTAATGCTTATATTAAGAATGCAGAAGATCCCAAACCAACCTAACTTAATAATTAAGGAACCAGAAATACCTCAAAGCTAGCAGAAATGGAGAATAATAAACATGAGAGCAGAAATAAGAGAATAAAAAAAAAATTAAATGAAACAGTTGGTGCTTTGGAAAGATTAACAAATTAATGAACCTTCAGGTAGACTGATGAAGAAAAGATAAAGAGGATTCAAATACCTAAAATCAGAAATGAAAGAGGGGGCAATACAACCAATTTTACAGAAATAGAAAGTATCATAAAAATACTATGAACAGTGTAGCCAACATTTGGATAGCCAAAATGAAATTAAAAATTCTAGAAACTCAGCCTACCAAAACTGAATAATATAAATTCTGAATAGACCTATAATTAGTAAGGATACTGAATGAGTATCAAAAACCTTCTGATAAATAAAAGTCCAGAACTGTCTGGCTTCACTTGTGAATTATTCTACCAAACATTTAGAGAAGAATTAACACCATCTATTATCCTTAAATACTTCCCTAGAATTGAATAGAACACTTCTGTATTCTACAGAAAACTATAAGCCAACATCCTTGATCAATTTTGATGTAAAAATCCTTTACAGAATAATAGCAAAGTAAAGTTAACAGAACATTTAAAAAATTATACATGGTGACCAAATAGAATTTATTGCTAGAATGCAAGGATAATTAAACATTCAAAAATCAATGTTAACATACCATATTAACAGAATGGAGAAACCCCACATTGTCATCTGAATTGATGCCAAAAAAGTATTTGACAAGATTCAAAAGCTCGTGATTAAAAAATTAAAAACCCGGAAAGAAGGAAACTATCTCTACATAACAGAAGGCTATACGTGAAAAGACCACATCTGATATCATACCCAATGGTGAAAAGCCCAAAAGCTATGATCAGGAACAAGAGAAAGGCACCAATTTATGTCCCTTCTGCTTTACATAGTACTATAAGTTGTAACTTGACCAATTAGTACAGAAGAAGAAAGACATACAAATTGGAAAGGAAGAAGTAACATTGCTGTTCATAAACAACATGTTCTTATATGTAGAAAACCATAAGGAAAAACTATCATAATAGAGGAATTCAGTAAACTCAGAAATGAATTGTTTCTATATACTAACAATGAAAATTCCAAAAAAGAAATTTAGAAAACAATTCCATTTAAAATACCATCAAAAAGAATAAAATACTAAGGAATAAACTTAAGAAAGAAGGTAAAAGACTTATATGCTGGAAGAAACTAAAGACAAATACATGGGAAGACATCATGTGTTTATGGATTGAAAGGCTTAATATATTATTAAGATGTCAGTAGTAACTCAAAGAGATCTACAGATTAAATTCAGTTTTTATCAAAATCACAGTAGTGGTTTTTGTAGAAATAGAAAAATCTTTCTTTACATTCGTAGGACACCTCAAGGAACCCCAAATAGCCAAATTAATCTTGAAAGAGAACAAAGATAAAGGTCTCACATTTCTTGATTTCAAATCTTACTACAAAGGTACAATATTAGAACAATGTGGTGCTGGCATCAAGACAGACATATGGATCAATAGAATAGAATAAATCTTAGAAACAAACCCTCACATGTATGGTCAAGAGATTAAAAAAAAAAAAAAGAAGATGGGAAAAGATAGTCTCTTTAACAGAGTGGTGCTGGGGAACTGAATATGCACATGCAAAAGAATTCTTTCCTGATCTCATACTATGCAAAAATTAACTCAAGTGAATCAAAGACTTAAGAATAAGAGCTAATGCTATAAAACTCTTAGAAACCCAGGAGGAAAAGATCATAACATGAGATGTGGCAAGGATTTCTTGGCTATGTGACATTAAAAGTATAATAATACTTTCATTAAATTATTGTAATATATTTCTCTAAAGAATACATATGAAGGGCTAAAAAGCACAGTTCCGCATCTTTTAATTAATAATTAGGAAAATTAAAATCAAAACCACAATGAAATAAAGCCTCAAACCCATTAGGATGACTACTATTTAAAAAAAGAAAAAAAAAGTAGATGATAGGAGTATTGGCAAGGATCTGGGGAAATTGGGAAATTTGTACACTCTAAGTGGGAATGTAAAATGATACAGCTGCTATCAAAAACAATAGCAGTTCCTAAAAAAATTCAAAAATAATTTTCTCTGATCCTGTAATTCCACTTAAAAGAATTGAAAGCAGTTTCAGATATTTGTAGACCTTGTTCATAGCAGTACTATTGAGGACAACCAAAAAGTTGGACACAACCCAAGTATTCATTGACACATGAACACACAAAATGTGATATTATAAATATAATGGATATTTTTGCACCTTAGAAAGCAATCAGATTCTGACACATGCTACATGGGTCAACTTTGAGTACCTACGTCAAATGAAGTCGATTAGTTACAGGAAGACAAATACTACTGTATGATTTCATTCATGTGAAGAAGAGTCAGAAAGCAGAATGGTGCTTGCCAAGGGCTGGGACGAGGGCAAGAGGGAACTACAGGATTTGTTTTTGCAAGATGCAGAGTTCTGGTTATTGGTTGCACAACGATATGAATATATATAACAATACCTCATTTTAAAATGTTTAAAAGGGTAATTTTCATTTGTAGTTTGCCACAATTTAAATGTTTAAATTTACTTAGTAGCAAAAAGGGAAGGATAGTGTAAAGAAAGTATACTGCTAAAAGGTTTACATTATTCATAAAATTCTATATTACCTGACAAGTTAAAGATGTATATAATGAATGCTAAAATGCACACACAGAAGTGGAGATGAGACAAAAAGGGAGATCATTTTTTTAAAGTTTGTTTTTAAAAGAACATAAGGAATAAAAACAAACAGCTAGTTAATAGATTTCATTCCAACCATATTAATAATCACATTAAATGCAAAGGTGTAAGTACCCTAATTAAAAAGTTAGAGATTGTCAGATTTTAAAAACAAGCCAGGCATGGTGGTATGCCTATAATTCCAGCAGCTTGGGAGGCTGAGGTCCTAAGCAACTTAGCAAGACCCCATCTCAAAAAAAAATTTTTAAAGGGCTGGGGATGTGGCTCAGTGGTTAAGCACCCCTGGGCTCAATCCCTGGTACAAAAAAACAAAATAAAACAAACAGAAAACAAAGCTCCATTATATGCTGTCTATAAGAAGAAACAAAGGAATTATAAGGAT